AAGGTTTACTAGGTAAAAATAGTATTTAATTATTATGTTGAAACTATTTGAGCCAGTGCACTTAAGCACTTCTACTTTTTATTGGCTCGAAGTATCTTTAAAACCCCTCTTTACGCCTTGACTGAATTATTGTTTATCACTCCATCAGACTAAGCAATAATTGACCTCAGATCTGCATACCTCACCGAGGAGCCTGTAACCATTCTAAGATTCGATAACGCGGTGTTGGTAAGTCTATCAGTTTTCGCAAATAATTTCAGGGCTCTGTCCTTTATGTATTTTTTGATGGGTTCAATTTTGTGGTCTCTGAGGATGCCATTCGTCCTAATCTACTATTATACCTTGAAAAGTCTTCTCAGAGCCTGACTTTGTGCAATTGCTAGCTGGCGAAAAGTAGTGTTTGAGGCTGTGCTAAACGCTACACATCCATATAGAAGTGACGGACGAATTATTTGGTTATATATCAGCTTTCTATTTTTAACATTTAGATTTTCATTTCTGAATAGCGGTTGGAGATGATGAAGAATTTGGCACAGCTAATTCTTTTCAGTTAAACATGTTTATGCCATGTGAATCATTTGTCCAACGTGATGCCGAGATATTTAACGCTATCCTCCCAGTTTATTACCATATCTCTCACTCTCATTCTCGAAGGAATCTGTCTCCACTTACGAGTAATAAACAGGGCCTTAGTTTTTCATTATTTATTTTTATTTTCCATTTCTGGAAATACTCCAGAATGAGGTTTGTATGCTCTTGAAGTGTGTTGGTTATGTTGAGAGCACATTTATCTAAGTATAGCATAGACGTATCGTCAGCATATAACGAGGGACCTAACATTGGAATATCAGATGTGTGAATGTTGCATAGAGTGGGAGAAACTGGCGATCCTGAGAAACTCCTGGTTCTATAGATCGGATTGAGGAGAAAGAATTCTTGACAAATTATATGTGCTTTATTTCTATTTGTGCGATAGCAGCATCACACTTTTGTAGAATATTGCGCCAGTGCGGTTTAAATGTTGTTTTCGAATTATCGTTTCCAACATTAGGTTAAAGTAGTCAAATGACAAAGAGTCACACTGTCTGAAACCTCGTTTAGTATCTAACAGTTAGAACAGTATCTAACGGAGCTGATGGTGTTTCTCAACGTCATAGCCGTATAAGTTTTGGTGGGATACGTATTTTCGTACTGGCTTGGCAAAAATTTCTTAAATAAATACAACATTTGGTGACCCTTTTTTACATCTATTACTGATTTATTCCAAATATTTTTTAATGCTTATTTCTCCAGCATTAGACAATATGAAAAAAAGTTTAGTGTATAGTGTATTTAAACATTATCGGTCCTCATATCTTTTTCTTTCTTTTTGTGAGGTTTTTGATTTGTAATCTGTTTACATAATATAAATTAAATTTAACTCTATTGAACCCGCTACATGTGGTATTACTCAGGGCTTATTTTGAATATTCTAATGTATTTAATTAATTAGAACATATCTGAAGAATAAACAATATTCTTATACATAATTATAAAAACATTTTAATTAACTTAATAAGTAC